GAAGAGGTTCTTGGACAAACGTCTGTCGTACTCGATGGCTTGAGTTGCCAAAATAAGGAATGTAATCTCGGAAACTTGATAGCTGATGCAATGGTTTACCGATATGCGACAGATTACAAGGGTAAGTATTGGACGGATGCTCCAATAGCAGCCATACAAGGAGGTGGAATAAGATCATCAATAGCTAATACGAAAACACCCACTAATATAACTAAAGGAGATTTATTAGGTGTTATGCCGTTTGAAGGAGTTTTAGTAACAGCCGAAATGAGTGGAACAGTGTTACTACAGATGCTCGAATATGGCGTATCTAATTATGATCCTTTAGATTATCCTGGAGAGTTCCTTCAAGTGTCAGGAATTAAAGTAGTCTTTGACTTAAGAAGACCATCAGGTTCAAGAATCGTGAAAGCTGAAGCCAGATGTGGTTTATGCGATATACCAAGTTATTCAGACATTAAGCCTGATCAAACATATAAGATTATAATGCCTAACTTTTTAGCACAAGGTGGGGATGGTTATTGGATGTTTAAAGACTTGGCAAAACAAACGTTAAATTACAATGAACATGCTGCTACAGTATTCTATGTGACCCATCACAAACTTATTTACCATGGTGTTGAAGGCAGAGTTAAACTAATAGAGGGAGATGAAGCGAACTTATCAATATCAAATACTCCTTCATTGTTTATTTTAATGACTGTAATTGTTCTAAATTGTTTTAAATAAAATTATAATTTTATAGAAATAATTAACTTTTGAATCGAAATGTTGATAAAAACAATATTGTTGAAAAACCATTTCGATTTGTATTAGAGAGGCATTTAAGAAAATTTATAGTATTATGTAAAGCACATATTATTAAAATAGTATTTTTAAGTAAGGTTGTGATGTATTTAAACTTATTAGTTAATAATTCTCAAATTTAAAAAAAATATTTCACTTGCAAAACATTTTTGTAATGCATTCCAGTTCTGATACCAAGAAAATTATTTTTTTGCAACCCCCTGTAGTTTAACTATCTGCCTAGTTATAATTCCCAGTGATGCAAAAAACGAAAACTTCGTAACCGTTATTGAAATTAAATGATAATAATTCCATACAAGGAATAGCATTTACTATAAATATTTTCTCAAAAACCCACATTTATATAGCTCAAAAATCTTTAATTTAAGTATAATTATTTTTAAAGACATATTTGTTTAGTTGTGCCATTGTTTAGACATTTTTATCAAATATACTATAAAGTCATCATACCTTAATGGAGTAAGTAATGACACAATAGAAAACACTTTAGCGACAAAAATATCTGAAGAAAATAAATTTTAATGATTTACATTGTTATACCATCGCCGTCCAAGAAAGATGATTGCGTAATATTAAGAAAAGAACGTAACCTTGGGTTTATACTGCCGAAACACATTCATTTTCATATAGAAAAAAAAATATATCCCTTCCATAATCATTGCAAGAATTGAATCGTAAATATGTGCTTGGACAGATGTTTGGGCAGTAGAAACCCATTGTAAAAAGGATGTAAACATATCCTATATCAGGTTACTCTTAGAAATTGATTTTAATTCCTGTTTTACTGTTGATTTATGTCTGACAAATCTATTATTTTGTTAATTATAAATTATATACTGACAATAAAAAAATCAAGCTAGAAATAATGTTGTGAGTTTGTTAATTTAGCAAATAATGTTACGTGAGATTGAATTGAAATAAATACTTAAAACCTTGAACATTTATTTATTACCTAAGAATTTTACTTACATGATACTAGAAATAATATCGTAGTCTTTTTTCATTAACGGGAATGAAAGTGACAAACTACAAGTAACATGATAGTGAAGTTCTACGGTTATTACCCAACCTAAAATCCTTACGAGAATATTCTATAAAAAATGACAAACTAAAATTATGCATCTATGCCAATAAAACGTTTCATTCCGCCACCGCTTTTCCACTCTTCCTGCGACGTAAAAAAACGGCTATAATATTTTTTTTTCACATTTATACAAAATACGCAACAATCAAGTAGATTGACTATGGACTTCTGTCTAAGCTTAAGACGAATACCTTATAATTATTAGTGTAATCAGAATTCTGCCATTTGAAACTTTAACTATTGCATTTCTTTCAGTGTCTCGGAAACCATGAATTCGACGAGGAAGTAGAAGGCGTGGTACCGTTCATAAAAAACTTAACCGCACCGGTATTAGCTGCAAATTTAATACTAGACAAAGTACCAGAACTCCAAAATATAACTAATCTATCTAAATCTATTATTATATTAAAGAAAGGCGTTAAAATAGGTGTGATAGGCTATTTAACTCCGGACACAAAATTTCTTGCACCTAAAAATAAAGTTGATTACGAAGACGAAATACCAGCTATACGAAGAGAAGTAGAACTATTAAGAGGAAAAGGAGTCAATATTATTATAGCTTTAGGTCACTCCGGTTTTCTTAAAGACATAGAAATAGCAAAAGAAGTAGATGGATTAGATTTAGTGATCGGTGGTCATTCAAACACATTTTTGTGGAACGGAGAACATTTCACAGAAACTCCAGAACATCCACAAGGCTTGTACCCCACAATGATAAAACAAACGTCAGGTAGAATAGTCCCAGTAGTACAAGCGTATGCTTACACAAAGTATTTGGGTAAATTACATATAGTTTTTGACTCATCGGGTGAGATTTTAAAATGCTTTGGCGATCCGATATTATTACATCAAGGAATACCGAACGACGACGAAGTGTTAACGATTATAAAAAGATATAGAGGTGACATAGACCGAATTAACAATGAAATTATTGGCAGGTCTACAATATTTCTCGATGGTGAACAATGTCGTTTGAGAGAATGCAACATGGGTAATCTAATAACTGATGCCACTTTGAATTACACAAAACGTATTAACAAAGAAAAATACGCTGATGTTAATATAGTATTTATCCAAGGAGGACGAATAAGATCTTCTTTAGGACATAGTGAAACACCATTTAACATCACAAGGGGAGACTTCATCACAGTTTTGCCATTTTCCGATACTTTATCTGTGGTAACGATGAATGGTACAATATTAATGCAAGCTCTAGAACATTCTGTGGCTTTATGGCGTACCATAGACAGTCCTGGACAATTTTTACAACTGACAGGTATTGAAGTAACATATGACTTATCAAAAGAGGCGGGAAATCGCGTGAAATTGGTAAAAGCGATATGCTCTGAATGCTCTGCCTTAGACGAAGTCCGAGATTACTTGACTTATAAGGTGATAATGCCCGGTTTTTTGGCAGACGGTGGTGACGGATATAGCATATTTGAAAAATTACCAAAGGATATTTTATCTTATAACGAATTGACATGTACTTTAGACTATTTAAGAATATATAGCCCTATTAATCCTAAACAAATGGGACGTATTACTGTACTAAATGAAGATGTGGTTATTAAAAATGTATCACAGATTGCATTTAACAATCCAATAGACAATTCTAAATCTAATATCAATCGTATAGATTTATACTTAATAGCAACAATGTTATGTTACATTAATTTATTTTTTTAGATTTAATATAGGTAAAAAGAAATTATGAATTTCTTTTTTTTTCTAGAAATGGGTGTTAGGTTATTCAAACTTTTTAGTTGATATACTAAAAATGAAATTAACAATTTTATTTTATTTTATTTTATTTTATATAATTTTCTTATAAATGTTATACAATGTTATTCGAAAATCAATGTAAAACAAACCTACAACATAACAATTTAAACTAATATTTATAACAAATTAAAAACGCACTATTTATTCTAGGTTTAGTTACAATATAATTAGTATTTTAACAGCCGCCAATTCTTAGACTTAGTTTTACATTTCCGTAGAAAAATTTAGTAGGTACTTGTTATAATAAAATCGCAAAATGAATCTAAAAAAATCATTAGAAAAAAAAACTAATCAAAGTTGTAGATAAAAAAAACTATGCAAAACTTTTAAGTTAACGAAAACTCTCATACTTAAATCATCATCATCATCAGGTCACTATACGTCCCCACAAAGGGGCTCGGAGCCTACCCTAAGTAAAGGGTGATTAGGCCATAGTCAACCACGCTGGCCTAATGCAGGTTGGTTGACATCACACATATCTTTGATTTTCTTCTCAGATATGTGCAGGCTGCATCACAATGTTTTCCTTCACCGTAAGAACGTTAGATATTACATACAAATCGGAAATCGAAAAAACATATTGTTACATAGCTAGATTCGAACCGAGGGCCTGCAGATTGCAAGTCAAGTGCTTGACTCCTGAGTCACCGACGCTCTTATACTTAAATACAGAACATATATATTACCTGTTTTTTTTAATTGATGTGTCTATGAATCACAATGTTTATAATTGAACACATTTATATATAAAATTAAATCGATATGTAATTCTTTTATTTATTCTTATAATCATATTAACTTGAGTTTTTTAATATACATAAATATATTGTTATAGCCTATATTGTTATATAAAAAATTATATATTTAACTTTGTTATTCTTTTATAAATAATTGTTATTTGTTATTTTAATAACATTTTATAAAATTATTTAACATTTATAGATTCGATAATAACGATAATATGTAAAAGATAAAATCATATTTGCACGTAAAAGTATTAAACTAAAATATGGGCACATTTGAAAGTGGCACTGATTTAAGTGTATTATTAAAAAGTAACCATGGGCTTCCATTTTCTAAACATTCACAATAAAACTGTCACTATTATTAGTGGAGAAAAAAATTTGACATTTTGTAGTTTTTTTTGGCTGCGCAAACTCATGGTTACAAAATCATATTAACATTTAATCAACCAGAAAAAAGAACAAATCTTATTATTTATAAAAATTGTTAAATATAACTAGATAATAAAAAAACAAATAAAGATCAATTTGAAATTCTTTGTCTTTTATTATAGACAAAAAATAATTAAACATTAAAAAAAGCCATGAAGTCTTCAAGTAAGATAATAGCGGCCAAAATCACCAATAGCATATAACTGGCATAATGTAAACACTAACTGGCGCCAGTGAGTCCATACTGTAATGACATCATGTAAACCAGTCATTACTCTGAAGAAAATATTGTGCGCCCGTTACGAGGGAGACAAACATACACTTGGAAGCTATAAATATGACAGAGAAGGAACATGTATTCTGATTTATATTATAACATATTGATTTCTTAACAACTTCAGATTTTCATAAAATCCGTAACGTATTTTATAAAAATGGCAAGTTAATACTTTTAAGCCTCTTCACACAGAAAACGATGTAAATTGAATATTAAAATTATTTCTTACTAATGAGCTAGTATCATTTTAAAAACTCTGTAACATAATTTGTGCTGTAATTGTGTTACAACTTATAATAAGTTTATAATGGTGGGTTTCTAAAATCAAAAAATACCTATTAAAAAATTCAAAGATAATGACAGGGATGTGTTTTATAAAGGGATTTTAGTCTCAGAAACTTACAGTAACACAAATAGAAAGTTAAGATACTAGAAGACTTTTAATTACAAAAAATCTAAATCAATTCAGGAGGGATAGTAGGCCATAGTATTAGAATTTCATTACCCTCCGGCAGTAGACCAGAGAAAATAGCTAAACACTGTTTCAATGCTTCTTGGCAATCTAACAACTCAACACATGGTGCGTAAGGCTCAAAATTCTGACACAAACTACATAATGTTTTAAAAACTTTTTGTGCAGTAGCTAAATTACCTCTTTCTAAATCTCCTATAACACTTTTATTTATTAATGTGTTTTTAATACTTATCAATTTTGCAGGAACATGTAAGGACGGTCTCATACTTAAGTAAACTGGCCAGTTGTTAATGCAGGCTTCGCAAATGCAGTCAAATTTGTATTGAAATTTCAGATTTGCCCGACGTGCATCCCTCTGCTCTAATGCATGGTGTGCTCTGGAATTGTTGTTTCAAATAATTAGAATAGATTTTTTTTAATGTAGGGAGGGCAGACTTCAGTTAAATGATGCTATTTTATTTTATTAGAGTAGGGGCAACCCAGCAGCAGAAAGACCATGGTGTTCATGACACCCACGGTGATGTGCAATTGCAGAGGAACCACAGATGCGTCGCCGGCCCTTAGATTGTGATACACTCGTTTTTTAGCAAAACTACTAAAAAGTTTACTACACTTTTTGAAAAAAGAAAAATGAACAATAAATCTTTGATAGACTGATTAAAATGTTACAGAATTTACAATTTGGCATCTTCAGCCGTTAGGAAATACATATACTGTCAGCTTAGTAATAAGAAATACTTACCCGTAGTTATCAAATAGTTGCATTCCTTTTTTGATAGGACGTAAAGCCATTAAGGACATACTGCCAGTACCTAGTTTGTTATATCTTACAACATTTGGGGCACAAGAATGATTCAAGAGGCTATGATATCCATACGGAGCGCTTGCTAAATTCACCTCTTTAACATAAACACCATTTGCCTCCATATTAGAGGTGATTCCGTGCATATTAGTGGGACTTGTCATTAAATGAAGCAATAACAGTCCAGAAACAATCTTTACTACAGTCTCATATAGTTCTTTATCTTCTACTTGAAGAAAATTAGTATCTTCCTTCAAAAATTTTAAAAATACAGCACCCGTAACCGATTTCTGAAATATATCAGATACAGATCGTTTATCAATGTTGCTTTCTAATGTGTGTATTGTAGCGTAATGTTTTGAATCAAATATCCATTTGCCATTTATTTGGATGTGCCCACGAAATTCATTGTTCATATTTGCCTCTGCATCACTGATTGTATTAAATAGATCAACCCAATTGTTGTGGTCATTACGTGACTTTATCACAGTTCTCAAAGCTAGTAATTCCAATTTAGTAAAGTCCATATCATACAATATAGCCATTAGTTGACACTCAACAGAGTGATATTCTTTAAAAGCCTTATTCTTGCACTCAATGCTACAATAGAGAGCATAACAACAACTTTCACATGGATACAAATTTATTTGTCTTGAAAGACAATAGCTGCAACTTAAAATGTACTGTGATTTTAGCTGCACAGTGAGGTAAGGTTCCTCTTCAACAAGTACTTCACCCACATTTATATCTTCTTTTGCAATCACCTGGCGTCCAAACTGTTCAGTAAACAGCACCTCTAACTTTGAACTTGCACACAAGTATCTAGAATCTTTTTTACTTTTCATAGCCAAAAAATCACTTAAATCTGGTTTCTCTACATGTTTAAAAGTATTTTTAAGTAAGGCTTCTTTACATATTTCTTTTCTTTTTAATAATTTATCTTTTAGTTCCTTAGGGTACTCCAGAGCAAGCACTCTATCTATATCAAGCAAACATTCCTCAAACTTCTTTAAAGCCAAAAATATAATTGATCTATTTGATAAAGCATAGCAGTAGTTATTAGAGTTGATAGGAGCATATAGCAGGGCCAAATTATAAAATTGCCATGCTTTCAAATTCTCATGTGACTGGAAACATTTGTTGCCTTGGTTACGGTAATATGTAGACACATTCTCTGATTTTTTCACTTCATTAACTGCTGGAAAACAATCTAAATCCTTTACTAATTCGTAGACATATAATACTCGTTCATCATTGCTTTGCAAAGATAACAATTTATTGGAAATATCTTTTATTTTACCCTGTGCCGTCAATTTTCGAAGAATATCTTCATATAAGTGATCAATAATCATTGTCTTGGTGATATATGGTGAGTGCCGTTATTTTATAGAAATGTCGCACTTCGCAACACCATTTATTGTGATAAATTTAGGTTGTGAAATGATATACGTTATTGATCAACGATTAAAAAGTCAAAATATTCCCATGGATAAATCCGAAAGAGGTTAGTTTGTTTTGATCTGCAATTGAGTAAAGTTAATGATTAAATCTATCGAAATAACAATTAACATATTTAAATAATATTTTCCAGTGCTAACCGATTTAGTTACGGTGCTCCTTCACCCTAAACTTCAACAGGAACTATTTTTACCCCAACCGGTGGCGGCCCATTCAGTTATAAAACAACTTTTGCAAGATATATCAGCTGCATCAATTATGAAACTTGATGAATACTCCATGAATAAACTGTGGGATTTAATGACAATGATATTAAAATGGCAAATATCAATAATAAATAATCACAGCATTTTTGACATAACTCGCCGACATTTGAAAGGTGTGGCCACACTTATGCCGGACAATTTTTCGAAAAATATTTTTGATAATGTTTTGAAACAAATTCAAGTTTTACAGGAAAAAATGTCAGACGACACCTATAAATGCTTGTATAATACAATACTACTATGGTTTTCAGAGTACCATACAAAAATATCCGTTTTACTTAGATTAGGTCTACAAAATAAGGATGGGACTTTCAATTCTTCAACAATAATTAATCCGAAGATAACTCAAAATTTAGGAGAAAATATTTATAAATATGACAATAAAAAGAATTCTCTTGAAGAATACGACAAGCATACATCTAATAGTAATGAAATAAACTGTTTGTTGGCACACATAGAAACTGCGAAGAGTTCTGGAAAACAATCTATTGAAATTAAGTTGCCACTAGAAATGGAGGGATATTCTAAAAGAATTCTAAACATAAGCAAAGATAACTTTGAAAAAATCCAAACAAATGTTATAGGAAGAGGAAATGATCTATCTTTTGTAGCTGACATTCCTAAATCTCCTCAAGAAGATCTTTTGAAAATGTTAAATGATATATAAAAAAAAAACAAATAATAAACTTGTATAGTTATTTCTCATTAAATTGTAGATAATTCACGTACAACTCAAAAAAAATGTTTAATTTTTTGAATAAATTAATAAAAAAATTAGACAAAAATACTTTATTCACAATTTTTTTACAAAAATCATTGGTTAACAAATACTTAAACGTAATTAATTATTCTACAATAATTACTATTAAAAAATTAAACAAACATAATACAGATAATTCTTGTTATGATGTACTTACTGTAATAAAATATCATACATCCAATTCACTATCAGGATAAGTAATTTATTTTCTCTGCCAATATAAATCAAAATTTAATTAACCAAAAATTTCAAATTAAAACACAACCATGTTCAGCTATTTTCATATAAATTTTATACTGTTAATTATTGAGTTTCCACTGTCGAAGCACTTACTCGTACCTCATTCTATAATTAATTAAATGATGAAAACAAACCTACGAAAAGTATGTAATATTACCTTACTACAAAGCATAATAAATAAGAAAAATGCGTCGAATGAAACAACAGAGTTTGTACAGTAGCAAAATAATATTTAAGTTTTAAATTATTATTATTCCGATACATAAAAAAAAATCCTGGTTTAAATGAGATGTTTTCTACTTAATCTAACTTAATGTAAAAAAACAACAACCACACATAAAAAGTAATTAAGCATTAAAGAATAAAATTACAACTCAGATTAACCAAAGAAACTTATTTTCTATATTATATACAAAATAAATAAGCTCTCACATTGACTCTATTGGGGTAGACAGAGATATTGGCCTTTTACAAAGCCTTTTTAGGTCTAAAATTTGTCGTATTTTTTATATTGAAGCTATCCTAATAAAGCCTTAATAGTTATATGTGATGGCTTATTTATTTATTTTACATCTATTTCGTCATTTGCATTAATCAAGTTTTGCATTTCTATTTACAAAATCATTATCTCTAACGCCACTGGCGAGGCTATAAACTGTGGTATATTGTGCCTATTTGATTTTCGCCATTGCGGCGCTAATAGGAGGGATCGGAAACTGGAACTAAGTAGAGAAAAAGAGTTCGTCGACGGTAACTTCAACCGGCAGTTTTAATTTGGAACAAAAAAGATGTAATTTCCAAGCAGTAATTTCCAGCTGATATAGTCGTTAGCATATGGAGTTACTTGGATCAAAACAATATACAAAAGTTTTTATAACACAAGAAGTTTGATCCCGCATATACTATTTTAATGTCCTATTATTTAAGTATTACAAATTACAGTACTTCAATGTGAAAATAGAAATAGCGGATTTTTTTTTAATTTTTTATCATTTTGTATAAAACAAAGATATCTGCCTTGATCAGAGGTGCTGCTGCCACGATTATTTTTGTCAGAAAGTATGTAGGTTATGTAGGCATAGAAAATAATATAAAAGAAAAAATATGACGTGACAGTTAAAGAACAACCTTGTGCCACTTTTTTGGCAGTAGGGCACTAGTGACCTTTTATTATCTAGTTTGACTTATGCCTTGGGTCAGATATGCTCGTCAGTGTATAAGACTAGAGAATGTCAAATCACTTCATAGGTTTAAATTATGTTCAACATTTTTACAACAAAATCTTATCAAATTACTTGTTGGTTTCCGAAACCAAAAACTCTGTGTAAAACATATTGTCATCCCCGTCATTGTCTTTGACAAAACAGATATAACAATATGTTTTAAACGGGGATTTTGGTCTCAGAAACCCAGGGTTAATCGTAAAACTTCAAATCTAGATTTTTTTTTATATTTTCGTAGCTTGACATTTTTACTAAACTTAATTGTAGGTGATTTCGTTTACATTTATTTATTAACTACATACAAAAATAGTACATTGCTAATATTTCTCTAACATTATAATTAACATTTTAGTTACCTATCTTAGATTTTTCTTAATAATTGTAATTCACAATTTAGTCGATTTCCATAGTGGATTTTTTTTTAATTAGAAACATGACTCTATACATACGTATTTACTTATATTTTCTTCAAATATATAAGATATAAGTACATTACTTCACTTGGCCATAATCGTCAACCCTAATAAACTATGTCCAGCTGTCAAAAATCGCCAACCCTAATACTTTACGTCCAATAGATCATAATCACCAACTCAGAAATAATCAAATCGGGTATAACTAACCCAACAGTTAGTCCACTTGACTATGAATCGTCAACCTTAGTCCGTTTGGCTGTAATCAACACAAATTAAGCCCGTTATACACAAAGCGATTTAAATTTTCGAAAGCTGTCATAGCGCTTCGTACACACACGCGTCGACGACTTTCACATCTGTCGTCGCTTAGCCAGTCGCTCGCAACTCGATTGTCAAGACCGTCGTCAAAAATGTCGTCACGATTTTAAAAATGGCAGAGCGAATCAGTTGACATATGGTCGCTATGCAACGCGATACTAGCGACGCAAGGATTTTCAAAGATTTTCATTGCCTTGTGTATTTTGAGCCTTAGTCTAAGGATAATCACTATATACACTAAAAAATCAAATACTATGCCCTGCTACAATAATCTAGAGTGTAACCGTGATGAATTTGGTGAGAAACTACTGTCTGGTAATACACTAGCGTCCCCGTACACAGGCGCGGGTACACTGTGCCCGTTGGATGCGTACGGACTACGCGACCAGGTGCGTGCGCGCGCCGCCGGCGTCTCTGGTGGCAGCACTGTCTGCATCGGCGGTGTTGGCATATGCAGCTTGCCTTTGCTCTGCATACGTTGTTGCACTGAAGAAAAAAACATTATATTAATAATGATATTTAGAAAATTTATAAAGAATTATAAGAAAAATATTATTAGTAGAAAGTTGGATTTAGAACGTATAAAAAGGATTTTTTTCACTCACCATAAAGATAAGCAGCAGCCATAGCAACGATAGTCATAATAGTCGGCAAATACGGCTTCAGAAGAGAGAAGATCGCACCAAGTAGAGTACCACAAGCGATTTCACATTCCCTCTCCACTTCTACGGTAATATCTTGAGCAGTTAACTTCGAAATGACGTGCACGTGTCCAATACCACACGTCACCTTCTCACTTGTCACAGTTACCGTGATCTCACTGTCTTTGGAACTCATTTCTATTTTAAGACCAGGTGAAATGGTCATTTTGACCAGCTTTAGGGCACGAGGATGCCCAGTTATGGTGAACGTAGCTGGTGGATTTGCTAACGAGACTTTAGTTTGTGGAACATCTATTGGAGGCAGAAGCAGTACTCTTGTACAAGTTCTGTGCGAGTCCCATTCGGCGCATAATTCGATTTCTGTTGATTCAGTTATAGACGATGCTGGTATTATAGAACAGCCTAATTGACCTGTAAAAAATTAAACTTATAATAATTTAAGTCTTTGAGGACATGTAACCTTTTTATTTGTTTCAATATTAACAGTACATCAGTAATAATTACTTTTGTATACTAATAATATAAAGACATAAGTTTAATTGTGTTTTTGGATTGTTTTTAAATTCTGGCTCCGATACTCCTTAACCGATCTAGAAAATTCTTGCAGTGTTAGGAAGCTACACTATCCCCGTTTGATATAGGCTATATTTATTAATTTTTTTTTATTCCACGCGGACGTTATCGCAGGCAACTGCTAGTATTCTATAAAAATATTCCAAGCTTACCATTAGCTATATCAAGAACAGGTTGTGCTGTATGCGGTGCTTTAGTGCGGCAAATATAAGGTAACTCTACTTCAATCCCTTGCAATGCATACTTCTGTTCCTCTGAGCACAACAATGGTCCTGATGTAAGACCACTAGCTTCCAATGACAACGGCACCATTGAATACGGCCACTCTCCGTGTAAAAACTCCATCTGGGATAAAAACGATAATTAAATTTATTTCTTTTTCAATTATTTAATATTAAATTTTTATAATGCATGTGAATGAAATTTAACAGTGGCAAATGTATATTCTTTATAATATTCTAATATTTACTAAGTTATTAAACAACCACATAGTGCAGATTCCTCATACTAAATCTACACTGAGGGTCCACCTAAGTTCTGTAATGAATATTGTACTGCTTTGAGTTTTAAAGAAAAGTCACTTCATACAATCATTAATTAAATTGATCACATATAAATCCGTTTAATAAATTTTAACATACACATTAAAATGTTGATAAAGAAGAGAGCATACCTTGTTTAAAGGCACTTGGTGCAGCGTGACAGCGGCGGGCGGGCGATCTAGGCGCAGCGCGTGTTTAGCCGCCGTGTCAGTCATTAGCACGGCGAGCGTGACACCCGCACCCGCGTGCAGCGTGACGCCTGCCGGTGCACGCCATCCCACGCCCTCCAGGCACACCGCCCAACTGCCACTTACTAACATAAAAATAGATATTCAGACCTATAGTTCCCTTTGTGTTTATATAAACTCTTGCAATGCAAGTTAGAGCGTTAGAGAAAGAAATATCGTCCATTTTGGTTTTCGCCTATCCCGGTTTGACTGTAAATTATTTTTTAAGTATACAAAAGTAAAATCACCAATGATTCTGTTCCCGTGTGCCTCAGATCCTATGACAAGCACTTCATCGGTGACAGTGTGTCCGCCGGCAGTCGCCTGGAAGCTTGCGAATGTGCCGTACGTGTCCAGACCAGTGAAAACAATCTCGCTTCCTAGACCACTGAAACAAATAATAACTACAAAGACCGCACTACTTTTTTATTTACCCCTATATTACAACAGGAACAGTAAAAAATCAGACAAAAATTAAACAAAACTTTTTATATTTCCAGTTGCAGACGCTGGATTCGATCGCTGGACTGGATTAATGTGAACAAGTTTAATTCTTACCCAGTGGTGGTTCGTCTGACATGTGCGGGCAGGGGCGCAGTGACGGAGACATTAGCCTCGTGCGCGATAAGTTCCCGTCCTACAGAGTTCCTCAGTACTACACGGAGAGCTTCATCGTCCACGTCACCAGATGGCTCTGCGGTGCAGTAATGTGGTATTGCCACCTCCACGTGAATTATCTGCAATTAAAATTAGTAATTTTTGTAATATTGGATTAAGAATTGAATGAAACGTCATATTTTAAAATCTGTTATATTCGTTTCGACTACAAAGTCACAACAGAATGTAAAATCGTTCAAATCAGTATCGGGGCCAGTGAGAGGCACTGCTATCGAAATTAGTTCTATTAGAAAATTCTTTTCTCACTTTTTGACATAAAAAGGAGGTCGCTTGTGACCCGTCATAATTAAGTTTCATTTTCCCACCGGGTTGAATTTCCTTGTCGGCCTATTCCAGCGTAAAACATCTTTCGAATAAACTAAATATAAACTCACCGTTTCTCTATAAATATTATTCCTATCATCTTTATGTTGAGCTGCGATCACTCCGTGTCCAGGCCTTAAACCTTTGACATCTCCATTAGGTCCTAGTTCAAACACACCCTCCCCGTACGAGGTCCAAACACATCTAGGCATTGACCTCAGACGTACAGAAGCGCCCACAGCTAGAGCCAAACGTTTACCCGTTGATAAATCAGCGTTTGTACTATCCATTGATATACGTATATCAGATATTCCGAGTATCTCTATCGTACTGTCCCATGATCGAGTTTCTGCCACCTAAAATAATGAATATTTATTGAATATAATTGTGATAAAATGGTTATTTTATAAATAATTATGTTACGTTATTTTACCTGTCCCATGTTCCGTACTCTGACATCTATAGTTATAACACCTGGTTTCAATGGAACGACTCGCACAGCCAAGCCTTCAGCTATTGATCTCTCTAAAAGATCTGAAATTAAAAACATAATGATCAAAATCAGAGAACCAAGAGAAAGAGAGGGAGAAGGAGGATAATAACAAACAAAAAAACATACAGACAATTGTTAACCTTCTTTACTAACTTTTAAAAAGAGAAAGTCACAAAAACAGATTTGCTAGGAACATGAATGTGTATGAACAGATGTGCCAGATTTCGTAACATTGTGTAAAACAGCACCTAAACTTAGTTTACAGTATGTTGCTTGTATTTTCCCAAACTACTAAAATCCTGCGGTATTTGACTTATAATTGCTATTGCTACCATAGAAGTCACAGGTGAAGTGGAAACAGTTATTGCATACCATCAACATGTCCAGTATATAATCTGGCCGTGGTGGGGTCACGCAGTGTCCATGTGACGCGCGGCGGCGGCTGCACGGCTGCGAGCGCGGCCGGGGCCAGGCCCGCCGCCTGCAGCCACACCGGCCCCGGCGCACCCACCAACAGGCTCTGCGTCGCCGCCACCACGCGCAGACCGGAGATCGGCACCACCTGAACAACGACATTTTATCTTAATACAAAAATAATTGTCTCATGTTTATCTAAACTTATACAAATATACGAATGTACTAAATACAGTCTAATTAGATCGCCGGACGACCTCCATAAGCGAGAAACCTATTTATGAAGGCCTTACTTATGCATGAAAAATATCGCGGTTCCTTAAACTCTCGCTTTCCATGTTCAACTGTATATTATATAGTAAAAATATAAAAGAACATTTACCTCAATTTCAGCCTCTGCACTGGCCATTTCGACATTAGCTATGTCTGTAGCGACCAGCTTAACACGTGCCGTGCCCATCGCGAGACCGTGTACTAGTCCACTTGGAGAAACCTGAAAAGTTGAAATCGAATGTATTATGTACTAGCTGTCGCCCACGACTGCGTCCGAGTGGAAATAAAAAACTGAATTATGGAAAGTTAAATAATGGTTCCCCTTTCTCTTCAGAAGTTGGTTATCTATACATATAAATAAAATTGGAGTGTCTATGCTATATGGCAAATAAAAAACGTATGCCGCACACGCGATTTAGTTAGCGAATGCCCTCTGTTCATTTTATAGGGTATTTTTTTGTTTTTTTTTTCTTAATTCTGCGGTTAAGAAGTCGTGAACGCTAGTATTAAGATGAAACTGACATCAAGCCTGTCAGTGTGTGCGGCGAGGCGGTAATGCAGGTCGGCGAGGTGCGGGGGCGGGCCGCCCGCATGGCGCAGCTGCAGCCGCGCGCCCGGCGGCACCCGCGCCGCGCCCGGCACCACGCGCAGCGCAGGGAACACCACCACCTGCACAACAATACATTTACTGCAACACTCACTATGTTTTAATTGGTACCCTTAGTGTATGTTTTATTATTATTAACCAAAATGTTTTTAGCTAACTTCTTAGTAGACCACAACAGTTGATCACCGATTAGTGCACTTTATTACGACTAAATATTGCAGGATCCATCGATATCATTATAATCAGTTTTCGCTACTTAACCTAATCTAAAACTTCCCCTACTAATTTGATTATTTGCACTATTTGTAATACATAAAAATGTAACAACATACCTCCAATTCAGGGCTCCATACACCAGCGATTGAGGCGCGCACTCGTCCTGTGCCTTCCTGCAGGCCGCACAGCTTGCCATCTTTAACCCTCACAGCGCCGGCGACACGCCACTCGGCGGGCCGGGAACTGCCCACATATCGCTGCGACACGCCCCTCGCCATTGCGTTCACCGGCACGCACCCGCCCACACACACCGCGCGCGCTGTCACCACCTCCACGCTTATCACCTCCTCGATGTTCACCTGTGTACATATTATAGTCACGTTTTCAATATAAGGTTATCAAAATATATATAAAGTTACTACTACTACTGCTAATAAATTGTTATGGCAATAAACAGTTAAATATCCGAGCACCAGCAATATATAAACAAGCAACCAGCCTAGGCTTTTGCCAAGGATAAACAAAAAAGAAATACAGCCTTGGTTACCCACTGGAAATTTTTTTTCAAAATAAAAAAAGTAATCATATTTCTATCAATGTAGTCCGTATAAATACCTCAATGAGTTGTTTCTCCCCCAACACGCAGAGATCAGTGACCAGAATATCGTAAGTGCCGGGCGCGGGGACGGAGGCTGTTAAAGCCCCGCCCTCAACGTTGGCGACCACGCCCTTCGGCGCCTGCACCGCGTATTTCCCACTACCTCCACTCACAGTACCTATATTTGATACTGATTCACCTTCCCACGCGATATTTGTCTAAAAATAAATAAATTACATTATTTTTAACCAAATAGGTTTTAGGTATTATACGATGTTAAGAATATCACGCAATACTCAAAAATTAAGATATGAGAAATGATACCGACCTTAACAGGATCACATTTCAAAGGTGCCACAACCCTAGCTTGTATAGAGGCGGTTGCTTCAGGAATACTGGCTTTGATAGAACCAGTCCATCCTATAGCTTGTTCTTCCGCTACCACCAACTGCAGAAAAAATGCATTTTTTTTAAAATAAAAGCACACATTTTTGAAGGTAAATGAATAAAATAATTCTGTCATTTTCTTACCTGATAGTACTTTAAAGGCACTGGCACTGGTGCATACTCAGGATCAGTTTCAACAAACAGTCTATCAGCTGCTGTGAACTCTATTCCCGCACGCTTAGGTTGCAATTCCCATGACACCCTCGGACCGCTCTCATCTAACAACTCCCTTCCGATCGCATCCATTAATGTCACTTTCACTGTCACTTCTTGTCCTGGACGTAGCCATAGTCTAAAAAATTAAAATGTCTATGGTTAATATTAATATTAAACATCCGCTAATTTGTCACTGAGGAAGCCCACATAATCTAAGTGCTGCAGTTGTTATTTTGTACATTTAACTACTCTTATCGGTAAGGTGATATAGTCGAAACCGTTTATTTTGACATCGATCAAGAGGACATATCGGTTATAACGTCCAAAACTGTTGCTTATTATTTCTTTCTTGTTTTTCCATCCCTGATATGTCCTAAAAACTTGTTTGACCGTACTATTTAACTGTATTAAAAAGAATTAAATAGGTATGCATACTTTGGTCCCCCCGTACAGTTACCGGGGCTGGGCGGGGGCTCGAGGCGCAGACGCGAGACGTGCGGCGCACAAGCCACCTCCAGCTCAACTGACTCTCGCTCCGTGTCCGAGTGCGATGATATCTCCAGATGAGTATCACCTTTCTGCAATATTACACATTTGTTAGGAAGAGCTTTTAAAACCGGTAAAGTAATTTTCAAATAAAATAAATCCTACTGTATGTATATTTATTTTAATGTAAAAAATCTAGAATTTTATTTTATCTCCCATTCACCTAGACTTAATATTTTAATTTTAAATAATAATATTTCATGGGAAAGTAACCTTAATCAAAATATTTTTTTTTTAATTTTAGTGTTATCAAGATACCTATCCTTTAGGAACCATCAAAACTTCTATAACTAAAACCTATGGAACAAAATATTTTAATTTAAACTTACCCTACGACATCTAAACGTAAAGACCTCTAATTCCGGATACTTATGAGGTGAGGGGCCATCTCTGTAAACCAGTTCTGCTACACGGGGGTCACTTGATGACGGAACTAGAGATTCACCTTCAGCTAATACCTATAACACAACATAATTAAAACTTACATTGGCTTAAGCTTATATTGCCACGTTCTTCATAAAAAAATAAAAAAATGTCGTTCAAGGTCAGACTAGAGGGCGCTAGCTCCGTGTTTACGTAGCTAGCGCCCTCTACCTCCACAATAAGTTACCGGTGCAGTAGCAGAGAGTAAGGCAGCAGCGTGTTGTGGCCAGCGCAGACGCGGTGCGGCGCGCACTGCTACACGCGCGCTATCCCCGACGCGACCGCGTGACACACGCACCAGCGACACGCCGCGCCCCGCCCACACGCTCTGCATCACGCAGCACGCCCCATCTACATACCAATCAATTGATATAAAACTAGAATTTGCCCGCCACTTCACCTTCTCAGAATTTCAATAAAAGTTTAATATAATAAGTAGCCTATGTGTTCTTCCAGACTATGTTCTACAACTATGCCAAATTTTAGCGAGATCCGTTGAGCCGTTCCGTAGATACTTTCTGACATCCATCCATCCATTAATCCATTAAAATAATGGCAGAAACATAGATTATAAAAAAAAACAGAACATCTTACCGACTGGCTGTTCCCACGTAGCGGCTGTCACATTATGCGGCTCGGGGCCCTCCAGTAATGTCGTTGCAAACGTCGCACAATTACACCTGCATACATTAAATATTATATAATAGCTATCGCCCGCGGCTTCGTCTGCGTGGAATTAAAAAAAAATAATTAGTGATCTATATGTATGTTCTTCTAGAATGCAGCCATTTTGGAGATACATTGCAGAAAACATCCATACATCCAAACATTCACATTTATAGTATTATAGTAAGATTTTGTTTACAATTTGATATAGTTGTATTGACTAAGACATTAGGCAACTATTTATGATTTTTTTAATTCCACGCGGACGAAGTCTCGGACGGCAGCTAGTTATCTATAATATTGTTTTTAGTACATTGTCATGAAAATTCTAAGTGCATTAAATTTTTAAATTTGTATATAACATATATTTAAAAAAACATATAGACAAATACTTTTTTATGTACAGAACAAAAAATACTAAATCTAAAAGAATTTACTTACACATGAAAATTATACAATTCTCCAGTATTAGGATGTGTTGCTGTGAGGGCGATGTGCAGATGATGAGGACGAGACACGCGCGCCTGACCTGAGCTCGACACCTGCAGCAGCTCCGGCGCTGCAGACCACACTCTGCACATAAAAACATATACAGCATTAGTACATATTACAAAAATATGATTAATAACATAAATAACCTATATAGTATATAGTAACTGCTAAATAATATAAAAAGAAAAAAACGGACTGCTCCAAATTCAAAAGTTTATGTATAAATTACATAAATTATACAAATACATATGTAAAAAGAAGGAATTGACTTTTAATAATACTTGATTCTACTTAATCACCCATCCCTAACTTAGGGTAGGCTCCGAGCTCCTCATTGGGGATGTATGTATTCTGATGGTGATGATGACTTCATTAATAAACTGTTGCATAACAATTAAACACATTAGAAAAGAACTTACCTTCCAATAGCTTTAATATGAGGATATTTCTTCAAATACACTTTTACATCCAAATAACCAAATCCGAGTACACTAACAACTCCCGTTGGTGACACTGATAAAGAATTTTGATTCTGTAGTGATGTCTCACTCTCTGTCCACACCACTTCCTCAACACCTCCGCCGCGATAATTTAACTGTATATCCCTGCAAAAAAAAATCCAGCTTGTAACCTTCACGCGATCTTGAGATAAAGGGTCTTGACAGACAGACAGACAACAAAGTGAACCTATAAGGGTTCCGTTTTTTTTTCTCTCGAGGTACGGAACCCTACCATATAATATAAACTACCAATGTGAGAACAGTTGTACAAAAACATATTCTCATCCCACTCATTCCGATTGAGAAAAGAGAGATAGCAATACTTACTGAATATTCTCAGTCCAGGCAACAAACAGTTCAGGTGGTACAATTTCCAATGGTTCTATAGCTGTTCCGGAAACTTGACCTTCAACCTAAAGCAAAAAAAAATAAGAAAAAATAAACAATATTTTTATTTATTAGAAGATCATTATCAAGAAAGTAATCTAATCATTTTTTAATACTGCAAAAACAACATACCTTAGTCATTATTGTCCTTCCAGCAATAGAATAAAGCTTTGCAGTAATTGTAAACTGTCCAGCATTCCGAGCCATTGCATCTGTTATTGTTCCATTATCAGTAGACTTAATCAAATCAATGTTAGCCTCTCCTTCCACAGACAAACGTATCAATATCTCATCACCAGCTGTTAAAGGGCGACCTTCACTATCAAATATCACACAATGCACTGTAAATATGTCACCATAGACAACCAAATTAGCCGGTCTTAATGTGACACGTATACTATGAGGTTCTGAAACTGTCAACGTAGCTCTAGCAACTTCTGTCATTCCAGACATTAAGATCACACTTGTTGTACCGATCTTTGTGCCTCTAACTAAGCTGATAGCATCTTCCAGTTTAGCTACAACATTATCTGGCACACTTAGACTGTATAAAGTATCTCCTATATTTTGCACTGTAAGTCGACCTGCCCTCATTCTAAGTACCCTGAAAAAAAAATTATTGGTAAATCAGAAAAGAACTTTGTACTGTTATGTAAAAAACTATATTAACAAACTGCATTGACTTTGTATCTGTTCGTAAATATCATGTGTTTCCAAAGACATATAACATAACATTCCTCATATTACCGAAGAGTTTTGTATTATACCAATTTACTTTACACTTACTTGTATCGTAATGTGTCTTGAGGTGCAATAACAGATATAACTGGGTTCAACACAACACTGGCAACAACTTTCAAGTTAAATCCTGTACAGATGTCTCCAAGGCACACTGTTACCCGACATTCTCCCATAGCTTGGCCATACAAAAGTACCGCATGTGACCTGAGACCTTTTGCTTCCAGATCCGCAATACCAGGAGGTGCTTCATAGTCAGTGTCACGCCAACGAACTAATCTGTGGAAAGAAAATATTAACATACAACATATGTATCATTGACAGAACATTATTACTATTAATTATGTATAGACATACAAAAATTAATATTTACACTAATAATTTTCCTTTAAATTCTGTAATTTTCTAGTGCTTTAAAGATTGACGATGGCACACAAATTCTTATTTGAAGAGATAGATTAATTTTCTAATATTAATAAAATATTACTTACGTCACTACAGGTTCTTCACCATAATTATTTCCAAGATTCTCTACAGTCCAACTAAATGTTACACCTTCCAACGAAGAGAATGTATTACCTAAAAGAAAATTGTACCACAAATTATGTGTGTTTTGTGACTATTTTGTGACTTCGTCCATGCGAAATTAATAAAAAAATTAATAAGAAGCCTATATGTTCTTCCAGGCTATGTACTACATCTATGCTAAATTTCAGCATGATCCGTTCAGCCGTTCTGGAGATATCTTCAAATAGACTTCCATCTATCCTTCTAAAGACTCGCATTTATAATATTAGTAAGACAATCTTGGCACTGTTAATTATATTTACTGTAGTTCAATGTGTTGTTTCACTAATTAATAGTTATACTATAAATAGTAATATTACTAAAAATAGTAAATTTACCTTGATCATCAAAAGCAACAACTTCAAAAGCCTCTGGAGCCTCCTCCAAAAACAGCTTCCATGTTGTACTTGTTATATTCAATGAACTAATTTTGTCAATGTCAACATCACCTCGCAATATCTGGAAAATAATATAAACTCCTTGTCTTCAATTTATAAACAGTAAAATTATGACTGGCAAGTGATAGAATTTTCTTCGTAATATTTTACTTATTTAGTTTCAAATGTTACAGTAGGTATTAATGACTTGTACTATTTTATTTGCATAAAAATTTACCAAGTCATTGTCCTCAAGAAATCAAGTAAATGTACATATTAACTTTAGAGAAATGTTAAAATAATTATTATACATTTTAGTAGGGACAAAATCTTATAAATTAGCATTTATAAAAATTTTGATTGTTAAATTTAATGACAATAATTTTTTTCATACGAAACGCAAATTCCCGCCAAAATTAAACAACTTTCCTTACCTCACCGGTATTCACTTCCTCAGCTAGGATAATAACTGAACCTGGTGATACACACGTCTTAGAAACTGAAACCCGAGCTGCCCGGGAACAGTGACCCCAAGTATCATCGTAAAGGGGTTCAAGATCGATGATGTCATCGCGGGATAAACTCCTGCACAAAAGTATACATTATCAGCTATAAACTAAATTATGTAGTTGATAACAAATGTACAGCAAACTTACCACTTGTAACAGCCCCCTTCAATGATTTCAAAAGTGAAATTTACATACAAATTTTCAAACCATGGTAGCAGTACCCTCGGACTATTTATTTTGGCACAGTCACTTATTATAGCATTTGCAAATATCACTAATGCTAGAACCACAACCTTATGAAGTAATTCCATGTCTATTCACATATCAAACAGCAAGGATATCGGTTTAAAATATCATATTTTTAATACCTCTAACCTATAAATTGAACTCGCGAATTTCAAATAGTTTGACGTTTGTTTTTTTTTACCAAGCATTTACGAATAGACTATAAATCCTAGAAGTTTCTTCGTCGGTCGCAAGTTGGTCGTAAAAAAAGACTTAATGTGAAATCTATAACGTCTCAAAATTATTTCCATCATTGAATTTTAACTTGAAGATCATTAAAATGATAAATAATAAAGGTAATTAAATCTAACAGTCAAGATGATATAAAAATCAATAATTGTAAAGTAGGGTTTTAAAACGCACTAAGCAAAATGTCAAAATGTTATAAATGGCTGCTTTATGCAGTTTGTGTTCGTCTCACTTTACCGAATTAAATGTGAATTATGTAAAATGAAATACAAAATGTGTGTCGTAAGAAATGAAATTATATCATAATAAAGATTACTATACAATAAAATCTCGTAACTTGCCGTTAATCATTTAAACAGTCATGTCGACTGAAAGAGCTACAGAAATAAAAGGCAATGAGATCGATAAAATCAAACGTCGTCATAAACCTGACGACACTGTTATTGCGACAGTGATACATAGAAGTAGTGAAGATTCAATCCCTTATACAAAAATGGAGGAAGAGGATGAGTGCTCTGGAAAACCTACGGATCTGTGTTTGCAAGGAAACTCTCACTTGATGTCGAGCACAACTAGCAGTTTAGCCGATACTCCAGGCGATTCTGGTGTTCTGTGCCTAGATAGCGAAGCTTCCGAAGCCACAAGTCAGGCGCTCATGACTCACAGTCTTGTAGGAGCAGAGGAGTTAGCTTGCGATAGTATTTATGATGCATTACCTTCATGTTCACAAGACATGATCAAAAGTACCACCAGCAGTATCATGACTCGCAGTGACATAGATAACCAAAATGTAGGTCGAGATGATATTGTACCGGAATTACTTGTTGAAACAAACAAAAAACCACCGGTATATGAAAATTTACCCGATGTTGTTTTAAAAGCCTTAGAAAGTGAAAAAGTTAGTACTGAAGAAGTAAGAAAGCCAGCATTGAGGACTACAGAACCAAAGAAGTCATTATCTGAGGATATAGTGTATAGAAGAAGATGTAGAAAGAAGTCACAAAGTGGACCTACCTCACAGAAGAAACGTGTTTCATTCCATGAAGACATTCTTAACAATACTAAAACTGATAACATTCATATAGAGAGAGGTTTTATATCATACAGACCGGACAACTCTCACTGTGATAGATTTAGACAAAAGAATACAGTTGCTAATGATAGGTTTTCTTGGTGTGCCTCTGGTGACCAAGCCCCTAAATTTGCAGCTGATGTTGCTCAACAAACTATGTCTGATATACTTGGTTATGGTGATTCTAAACATGACAGAAGTGGTATATTTGAATACTGTCAACCTCGTGAACCAAGCAATGTTAATGCAAATAAAGACAAAGACAATAATAATGTGACACCACATAATGGAAAGCTGTATGGTTGTGATTCGAATAGCTCCGATTCTAATTTTAGCTGTGACTCTGAATCATCATCAAGTGACTCCTCATCTTCACATTCCAATAAAACAGAAACATCACCCGTTCATAGGAAATGTGATAAAACTCAAAAGTCTTACTCATGTGATGAATTTTCTAATAATGGCCATGTCGCATTCATGAGGAAAACATATTTTTCTGAAGCTGATATAGATCAAAATCATGATAGAATGAAGAAACCTTTAGAAGTGTCACAAAGTCCTATAACGGTTAAGTCTGTGCTGAAAAAGAAGCGTTACATAACAACTAATGTTGTCGAAGAAAGAAAACAAAACAATAAAGTTCTGAGTTTATTAGACGCAAACAACATCCTTGACTCTCTTAAGAATTTTTATAGAAATTTTAATTTCAATTTCACACCTGAAAAAGGTCTTCCAGAAACTAGTTTTGAGATTAACAATGTAGTTGAAGCTTTACCATGTGATGTTAATCAAAATAGAAATTTGTCCAAAAGTCTTGATTCAGGATTCCAAATTGATGATGATGAGGATTTTGTTGAAATCAATTTGAACCCACAACAAAATGTAGAAAAGCCAAAACAGATACCAAATAATTCTAAAAATCCTGTTTCTGGGGATAGAACTCCTAATGAAGGTTCACCTCGTCACAAACTTACGTTGAATATGAAAGCACAAACTGATAAAAAACTTGTCAACAAAGCTGATGCATTCCCACCATTAAGCAAGTATGTTGTTAATTGTGAGAGCACAGTTTATGAACATAAAGGTGTATCATACAGTTACGTTCATGATACATTTCAGACAGCATTTGACGCACCAAAAGAAACATTTGTTCCCATACCTGAGACTACACCGATTATGGAAATTGTCACAAGTGCTAGTAAGACTGAATTAAATATGAAACAAGGTGATGACACATCCAGTAAAACATCAACACCAAAGAGGCAGTTTAATAAAAATGTTCAAGATGAAACTGAACAAAAGAATGGTGTATCAAAACACTTATCCTCACCTAAGAAACAAAATGTGAACAGATATAGTCGAAAATTTGCATCTACTGTTCAAAAGAATGATGATTCAACTCAAGCGAATAGTGATAACTGTTCAAATACAGACAATTCAACTTTAAAGGGTGCCGATGATTTTAACGAAGAGTTTTTCGATAGTCCAGCGAATCAAAAGCTTCAGTCAAATAAGTCTGCTCTACTCAATAGGTACCTGAAAAATGTTTGCCAAAAGAAGGACCTTGAACTTAAAATCAGAAACAATAAGTTCTTCCAATTCAAATTACGTATGGAGAAAGAGTTTCCGAGTATTATATTTCCATTTAAAAATGTGTCGGAAACATTTCCCTTATCTGCTGAGAGGATGTCGCGTCTCATAGACAAAGAGGTTGTGGAGAACAAAAGGCTTTCTGTTCGCTTGCTGACAGCCGACGAGCCGTCGTACTTTGACAGCTTTGAAGACAACGTCGCTATTGAATGTAGCGAGAAATTAAGACTGCAGCTATTTTCATACCCAAATGAAACATTGAATAGGGTATGTTGATTTTTTTACGTCTTTTACTACAAATTCTAATAGGAATGATTTCCAGCGTGTAAAAATGAAATTGACCTTTTGCTGTTAGCAAAACCAAATCTGCTAAAAACCTACAATAATTTTTTTTATTCCATAAATTTCTATCATAATAATAATACCGCCTTTTCTCCTTAACTAGGTAAAGCTGTATTTTAAGAGCCACTTGTCTTTGAGAGTTTTGAGTATTCAAAAGTTTTGTTTTCAAAGACTACACCAAAGTTTTATTATTATGTACGTAATAAATTTTTTTATAGATGATGAAAGTACAATCAGCTTACAACATGGAAGATGGCTCATGGACGCCTCTATTGGTTTTCATCACAGACTATGCATTGTACGTAGCAGACCTCAAGCCTGGAGGCACTGAATATGACATCTTGTGCAGGCTACCGCATAATGAATTGGATGCTATTGCGGTAAGTTGCTTTATAATCTGTATAAGACTTAGGTATAAGTGGTGTTGGCTTAGGGGTTAAGCACTGGACGTACAATCTACAAGTCTGGGACTGATTCTCATGATGTACCAATGTGTTTTTATTTTCGAATTTAATGTTAACACGACTTCTTTGATAAACTGCACATATCTGTTAAGAAATGAATGTGTGAAATCAACCAACCAGCATTAGGCCAGCGGTGTTAACTAATACCTAGTCCTATGGATGTGAGCTGATGATGGCAGACATAGCCTTGTGATATCTTTTCATATATCTTTATATGTTTGATTATTCTATCCTAGGTTGGTCCAGAAGCTCAATACATCCAAGTGATAGACATAGCTGGTAACATAGCGTGTTCTGTTGTGACCGCGGAGGGTTCTCTGGGAGCTCGATTGGCGTCTTCACTGGAGTGGAGCGCTAGAACTTCGCCCCTACGTATAGCTCGCCCTCCCGCCATGCTACCCCTTAGTTGCAAACAGCTAGCCGCTGCGGTGACTAGGAAACGACATGAGAAACGGGTAAGAGAAGCAATCTATACTAATATTATAAAGAGGAAAGATTTGATTGTATGTTTGCATTGAATAGGCTCTGAAATTACTAGTCCGATTTGAAATTGTTTTTTCACTCTTGGGAAGCTATGTTATCTGAGGGTGATATCTATATTTATTATAAATTTATAGTTAATTCTTCCAAGACGAAGTCGCTTGCAACTACTAGTGTTTAATTTATTTAATTTAATTTAACTGAAAATTGTTGACATCGTAAAATTACGACTTACAATGTGTTTCTCAGTATTTTAATTTCCTTTTCTGACATTCTAAAAGTTATATGGTAATTAACATTCTAAATGGTATTATCGTACAAAATCTACGAAAATGAAAGCGTAACGAATGCCTTTGAAGGCCACATCCGTAACAGACTATCACACTAGTATGGGCCCCACCACATGAAGTATTTTTTTTTAACGGCTATTTTATTACGTCCCATGGCCAGTATTTTTTTTATACGAAAGTGTGCTCGCCACGCAAATCAATGGCAGTGAAGGTGTTGAATACGTAATAAAAACTAGAAAACATTAATATCCAATTTCTACTTAAAAACTTAATTTTCCATGACTTAGCGATAAAATCGTTCAAAGATTAACCGTGAAAGGTGCCAAAATCCCAGAAGTGTTATATAACTTTTTAAAAGGTCATTTAACACATTCGTTATATACTGCAAGCTTCGGAAAATTATTTAATACCACAGAAAGGCTGAAGTAGGTCGACGACTCGCCGTTTAATGAACGTCGATAATTTATATTGAAAACAAGTACACTTGAGGGTATGTAACCCTAATGAGGTACACAGAGGTCAAGAATAACGTCTTTTGCCATTTATTGCATGAATTGTTGTGATAAAGATAATTTCTTAAATATGCGTTTCAAATGAAAATGTACTTGATCAGTCAAATATGACAAAAAAAAGTAAAGATTTCTCTTATTTTTGACCGACTTCAAAAAGGAGGACTTCGTCTGTTTGTTTTTT